AAGTTTCCAAGACAGACCAGCCAGGTTACCTGATTTGCTCCCAGCCTTGCATTGAAATTTCCATGAAGATAGAATCTTTTATTTTGAGATATCCTCATTGAAATCTTGGCAAAATTGGTCCTTTTCCTCAGAAGCAGAGTAGAGAGTTGTAGCATATGCACTGAGAACATTGATTGTGCCAGAAAACGTCGACAGCCGAATGATAAGCAATATTTCTGTGTCTATATATATAAATAGACATTCATATAAAGCACTGATACTTAAGGGTAAGGGTAACGGTGCCCACTGATCGGAGGATTGAAATGTCCGACAGAAAAACAACAAATTTATCACTGAAACCATATTTGACGATAAGACAAAACCATGATTATTTTTGCAATAATTTAAAATAAAAATATTCGAAATAAGGTTTTGTGAAATTTAGAGTTAATATGGTTGTCTTTATCAAACATGTAAAAAAAACTAGAACAAATTAATTTTCAAAAAATTTTTTTTAAAACATCGCTGCATTTTGCCGATATTTTTAAATTGACAAAATGATCTGCTCTAGTTGGCCCAACATTAACGATGCATATTTTTTTGTTATTTTCGAAGCACTTTAGCACGTGTTTATATCCTGAATACACCTGTTTTATCATGAAAAAATTATTATTTCTGATATTAGATATACAAAAAAGTCAGCATTAACCAACAATAACATAATTTACATAGTACAAAGTGAGAAAACATAACATGACAGCCAAGTCACGTTGTAAACTCAGGCTGATACTAGAGGTGAGAGGGAATTTAAATTTGTTTCATATTTCCTCCCATTTTTGTTTGTCATTCCCGATTACCTCCCGAATTCCTATTTATGACAACATTCCCTAAAATTTCCACTTTCTATTTTTTGAATTCATTTCCGCGTTTTCCCTCCCATTCACATTTTGCATAATTTTGAACATCAAAAACAAATTTTAAAAAATGCTCATATTAAGAACGTGTTTTTGGTACAAAACAAAATAAAACAGAAAAGCTCTAAAAAATTAAGACAACATAATAAATTACAAATTAAATTAAAACAATTTTATACATGTTTATCAATGCTATGTGAATTTCTAATGACCACAAGTCTGCGTATGCGTGTGTCAACCACATGTTTGCTTATATATTGTTGCAGACGTGAAGCCGAAATAAGAACTAGAAATTACGTGAAGCGCTTGCAAATTAATTTGAATGCGTAAATAATTAAAAAGGTTGTAAAAAAAAGTCATCGGTAGCTATAAAAAGAACGAGACAAACAAAAGAGGGACGAACAAGGGAAACTCACGAGAGAGGAGAACAGGTAAGAAGAAGACGGAACAACAGTTGACGTAGAAGTCGTAAATGCGATTTACGTAGTTATCTGCATTAGTTTATTGTTTCTATTACTGTTGGTATTTAAATAAACGTTCAACTTAGTTTGCGTTTAAAGTGGTTGTGTTCATCTATCGGAAATCTTGAACCTACAGATAAACGAACTCTTGACTATCGTTGGAAGCTACAACACGGTGTTGGAGATATAACGAGTATTGAAGCTATAACATCGGTGTTGGAAGTTACGAGGTCGAAGAGGTTACAACACTTAGAAGTTGGTGACAGAGGTAAAATTTTGATAGCTGGAAACTCACTGCAGTAAAGAATACCAGGGCTAGGAGAACGCAATACAATTAGTCGGACAAGAGAAGCTAACTACTGACGAATAGTTGTATTCCGTGATTTAACTGTCGATTGTGCTGTATTCTAACGATTTTAGGGACCGAATGAACACAGCAATAAACACAAGCGATTGTCAGAACTGTTTTCTTTCTAATAAAGCCATCTGAAATATATCTGTTCAGGAGTCAAGAATCCACGTAAGAAATAATGATACCATACAAGTTCAAGGGGTCGGTTATAACAATATATTTTATATGAAATTTTTTTATAGTTCTTTTGCTTGCAAGTGATTATCTTTTGTGTTAACGCACACGTGTGTACGTATGTGAATGTGTGTGTCTTGATCACATAAATGTATATAAATAATGAAATAATTTCCATCCGTTATGGGTCGGACTTTTTCATTCTATTCATCAGTTTCTGTCTCCAAGCCGATCTACCCATTGCGTCTGTCTCCTTGAGACCAAGTGCCTTCAAGACCTCCTGTATGGTCTGCGTCTAGGACTTTTTTGGGCGACCTCTTGGGCGGGTGCCAGGCACCTTGTGCTCAGTAACGGAAAACATTGTATCGTTTTCGCTTCACATGGCCAAACCATCGTAGGATCGGTTCAGGATCTTGGTTGTGTGGATATGGTCCCTTAGGTCAACATGCTGCATCCATCTTCATGACAGTTCGGTGAAGCTGCTGTTCGAGTTTTGTTGTCATCGGCCACGTCTCTGCACCATACATTAGAACAGAACGTATAGCTGTGTTGTATAGTTCTGAGCGCAGCGGTAGAGGAATGTTACGCCGCATCAGCACCGAGGCAAGAAGGTGCCATCTGCCACACGCCGCTCGTATGCGTCCACAAACGGCATCAGCTGTTCTAGTACAATCCAGCATATCTCCCAAATACTGAAATGAAGTAACAGTTTCGATCCCGGTAATCGTATCATTATCTGGGCTCCGTTGTCGCGGGTTGATGCAGGCAGGGTATACGAAATCAGTCACTTTCCTCAGTGAGTCGACATTTCTCGAGTATCGTCTGTGACACCACTGCTGACATCGTAGGCATTTGATCGAGTTGCTTCCAACTTCAGCCACACACACCGAACATGGCCAATGACCAAAGACCACAGGCTCACCGGTGTTCATAATTTTTGTTTTATCAAGCTTTAACTTTAGCCAGTGTTCGGCAAGCAGGATATTCAAGACTTCAAACTTTCTGGCTGCATCTTGTTCCGAGGCCGAGTCAGGACGATATTATCTGATATATCACATTCCATATGTTATCTGAGCTGGTTTGGTTGTTTGGTTATTTCTTCCATCACCGTGATGAAGAGCAGAGGGCTGAGTTTTGATCCCTGATGGACGCCGATGTTAATATCAAATTCATTCGTGTTACCGGCTGTTGTGCTGACCAGAGTTTTTGTGTTAGAGTACGTCGCCATAACCAGCCAAACCAGATATTCGGGAACAAGCTGTCAACGTAAACTCAACCTCATTGCCTCATGAGAGAGAAACTAGGTCAAAAGCCTTTTTCAAGTCCACAAAAACATGGAACAGTCGCTTTTGCTTTGCCATGTATTTTTCCTGTAGTTGACGAATGATATAGATAGCATCAATGGTGGATCTCCCTGCCAGGAAACCGTACTGGTAACCACCTATTGAAACGCACGACAACAGTCTTCTCTCAATGAGAAGTTAACCTTCAGGGGATGTTCCAGAAGACGTATACCCCGATATGAGGAGCATTTTAGTGGATCTTCTTTCTTTTATATACAGTTGTGCTACTGTTCCATTCGCAGAACCACTTACAATGTTATAATTATCTGTATATCTTTTATGTTCTTCATGTTACCAATCATTGATTTGAAGCAGCCATCTTCGCCACAAAGGCTGTTTATCCTTTTCACACGACGTACACACGTATTTATGTGCAAGCGCAAGCACCGCATCGTATACGCTGAGTATGATAGCCATGGAGATGTTTGACTCATCGCGCATTTGAATCACTGAGCCATTTTGCCGGCCAACATGCGACAATTTACGTTGTCTACCCATTTACCAGCCTCAAAAGGATGGACGGCTGGATTGGCCAGGGGTCGGCTACCCCGATGAACTTGTAAAAACTGCACAATTCGAACCCAAGTCATGAGAGTGGTAAACGGACAACGCTAACAACTCGGCCACTAAAAACCAATGTCAAAACTATCAACGAAAATGATAAATTAAAACTTAGGATTTTCCTCATCTCTTGTACTTAAAACTAATTGCAATACTAAACCATAATCGTTAATGAAGAGCAGTCATCTAGTATATTATGATGTTTTTTTGGTGTGCGATGTCTATGGCTTACGTGTTGTGGATTTCAATCAGTAAAATTTTCGTTATAAAGTTTTTGCTCATTTTCCTTCAATAAAACATAAATTAATTTTTTCTGACAACGTTTATAAATTTACGAAAGATTTTGTTGCTGTATTGCAATTCGTTTTACAATTTATTATGACTTCAACAAATTTTCATCATCGTCGTCATAGTAACCGATTTTAATTTCAAATTTTAACGGTTTTTTTATCTAATTTAATTTAAATAACAATTTCACTAATTTCAACTTCTAGTTTTCTGTTTTATCAATTTTATTTTTTTCATCCGTTTTTACTTTTATCAACTCGTTACTAATTATTGCTCACATACTCAATCGAAAGATCCAATACACACACCAACAATTGCTTGATTTTCTACCCGACAAATTCGCCATCAAAAAAGTCTTTTTTTCAACAAACTCCTCTTTTCTTCAATCGCTACAACAATCTCAACATCAACACTTCCGGCCCATCTACCTCAATCGCTACAGCACTCTACAACAACTTCAATACCAGTAGTGGTATTAATTCATTAACCCGTAAAAGAAGCAACCACCCCAGTCGACGCTCCTCACCTAATCAGCTCAATCTCATAAACATCAAATTCACCCCAACTTACAACGCAGCCAAAATCGTCCACCTACCATTTACATTTTGAATGTCACAAGCATTATCAAGCCACATGCTAATTAGCATTTGAGATGTGATGTGTATCATCTCCAACCTGACTCACAATCATCACCAAGTCATGGCTTAAGCCAGATCACCCTGATAGTTTGATCGCACGCAATAGATGGCTACACACCCTTCAGAAAAGATCGCCTTCGCTGGCGGCGTGGAGGTGGCGTTGTCATCTATTTGAAATCATTGTTTTGCCTCATGCTATCAATGATGCACTGGAAACCCTTTCATCAGCGCCATCTATCATCCACCAAATCATCCATCATATGAAGTCTCCACCTTGATGGGTTATACCGATGAAATCTCTAACACTGCGTTGCGGAGCGACTAAAAACTCATCATTGGAAGTGACTTCCATCTACTCGACCATCATTCCATCCTTCAAACGGGTCTACACCCTAAATTCTGGTCCCACCCACCAAGGTCACAACCTTGACAGAATATATGGGATTAATGTGAACCTGGACACCAATCACACTTAAAGGTCACACGTTTCCGCACATCATCTTGGAGTGGTTGCTGCTCCTCCACCAACTAACTCAACATCGCGAAACAACACCCCAAGGTCATCTCACTTCGCCGTCGTCCTCCTTCACAGAGTAGTGCTTGCCTTCAACATCTTAACAACATCGACTTCAACATCACCACCACCACCAACAATACTCTACCAGCAATTTTTAATAATAATACTATTAATTTTGATAATATTAAAAATGATAATAATAGTCATACTAATAGTAATAATACTAGTAACAATAATAATATTAACAATGGTGTCAACGATAATAATAATAATATTAACGTTCATAACTAACTCTATTGACAATTTTTTGTAACACTGTTTTGATAAATTTTATAAAATCATCAACACAACTTACAACATGTACTACCCGATATCAAACATCACGATCAAATTATCAGCCCATTCATCAAATATCTATCATCAAAAAATAAATTCATGAAATCAGGATCCATCCGCAAAGCCAAATCACCAAATACATCAACACACTCATCATCAACTTTAACTCAAAAGCCTTCACTAACAGTAAGCGTGGAAGCAAAGCCATGTGGGACCAAGTCAACAAGTTCATAGACTTTGACAAATCGTTCAACACGTCAACCTCACAGCAAATTGATGCCAACACAGTCAACACCAACTGCTTCCATGTCAACCGACCCGTCCTACAAAACTCCACCAACAAAAGCAACAATAGTCAATAGTCGTCATCAACGTCAACAATTTACCCTACACTTCCTCCTGCACATGCTGACGAAGGCCTGTCCAGACAGTCAACCAGCATGGTTTCTACAAATCATCGCTCCATTCATCTTCAGCACCTTAAGTTCACTCTACAATCACTGCTTAATGCATTTGTTAGTACGAGCGTTCTGCTACTAACAAGACACCTTGTTGTGAAGTAAAATAAACAAAACAAACACAATTCAGGCGTAAAAAAATGTTAACTTTATTCTAACGTGAATCTCGAACCGTCTCGTTCACAAGCTCTCAGGAAAAAGAAAGAAAATAGAGAGAGAAAGAAGCAAAGAAATAAAAATGAACAGAGATTAGGTAACATTGAAAATCGCAATAATCTATAATAATAATTAATATATAAGATAGTTAATAAATAAATGTTTGGTTCCTACAATAAAAATTAAAATATTCATTTCGTTTGTTGAATGTTATTTGTCTCCTTTTTCTGGAGTGTTGGTTGTTATGATGGTTCCGATGTGGTTGACGTCGGTCTTGTTTCTTGTTGCGACTGATGTTGTTGTTGATGTTTTTTGTGTTTTAATAGATTATGTGTCTGATATTGCTGGTTTGTTGTATCTGTTGTAGAAAGTTCATTGTCAAACAATTCTCATTGTTTATTCTGGTTTTGGTTGTTGGATTGAAAAACAATCGATCAATTGACACATTCTGAAAATTTCCTGGTAACAATTCAATTTTAAAGAATTTGTCGTTACGTTCAATCACTTTGAAAAAGCCCGTATTTGGTGCTTTATACGATGTACTCGATCTACTCTTAACCATACGTGACTACTGTTTGAAAGTTCAGTATATGAACAGTATCAAAACGTGCAGACGGTAAATTGAATGATGATATCGTAGATTTTGTGTGTCGGTGAATTTTGTTTTGTTGACAGCTGCTTAGTAGTTCTTGACCATGTTCTTATTCGTTTGTTTATACCTGGCCAAGAATATCTTGATATGATTAATCTTATTGATGTTTTGATACATGGATGTGAGAGGTTATGAAGACTGTCAAATATGGCTTTTCTCAAATTAACTGGGATGTATGGTATGAGGTATGGTGATACATCACAAAATATTTTTTTGTTATGGCTAATTGGATATTGTTTCAACAGATCCTTGAATGATTTTATTTCATCATCAATTTTTTGTTGCTCGGCTATCGACATTGTACGTTTATCTATACAGCATTTGCTGGCCAAGAGAGACAATTTGCAACAACGTTTTCTTCACCGCGGATATAAATGACGTCTGCAATGTATTCGGATATCATTGAAAGATATCGTTTTTGAACGTCTGACTTTAATGGTGTTTTTTTTTTGTAGGCGACGCATATAATAGTTTGTAATCTGTAAATAAAGTTACATTTCTTCCTTCAATCTGATGTTTCAAATGGATGACGGTAAGATACGCTGCTAGTAGTTCTCTGTCGAATGTAGAAAGGTTACGTTGTGGTTCAGTTAACTTTTTAGAGTAGAAACCGATTGGTACAGGAGTTGAATCTTGATGCAGTGCCGCACCTATGGCGTAATCAGAAATGTCAGTAACTAAGTGGTATTTTCTACATTTTGAATCTGGATATGGAAGTGTTGTTACGTTGGCAAGTTTAGATTTGATGGTTTTGAAAGTTTTCAATTTTTCGTTAATAAACACTATTGTTTTTGAGTTTGGGTGCAATTTTATTAGTTCTGTTAATAGAAATACAATATCTGCAAATTGTGAAATGAGTTTGCGATAGAAACCAATCATTCCTAAAAATCTACGTAAAGATTTAGTATCATTTGGAACTGGAAATTCTTCAATTTCGTTTATTTTTTCGTTTATTTCGTTTATATTCGTTTATTTTTTCTTTTGTGAGAAATAGTCCTTCACCGCTGATGTTGAATCCTAGGTAATTTAGATTTTCTTCGGAAAATTGGCACTTGTCTATGGAGATTCTAAAATTATTTTCGCTAATGATTTGAAATACCGTTTCTAAATCTTTTTCATGATGTTCAGTGCTTTCTGAAAATATGAGAATACCGTCTAGATAAACAAAACACAGTCGGTACCTAGGAAGATATTATCCATGAATCTTTGGAATGTACATCCTGCAACCGGCATAAACTCAAAGAGTCCAAACGGCGTTATTATGGCTGTTTTTTCAATATCGTTTTCATGTACTGGTATCTGGTATAAGGCTTTTAATAAAGCCAATTTTGAAAATATCTTTTGCGATGAAGTTTAGTTGAGATGCTGTGAATATTTAGAATTGGATATCTGTCTGGTTTCGTAATGGCATTTACACAACGATAATTTCCGCGGGCTCTCCTTTGTCCAGGAGATGGAGTGGAGAAGTCCAGGGAGATTTAGATTGTCTGATGATTCCGGCGTTTAGTAAAGAGTAAAAACGTAAATTCCTCTTTTGCTACTTTATGAAATCATGAAAAAAATGTGAAATTGTGACGATTGTGATGATAATGATTGCGTCTATATCTATTGTCAGAATTATGAATTAATACTGACTAAAAATACTTCAAAAAGTTTTCAACGCAAAATTTATTCACTCGATAGGGGGCATGGTGCAAGTTAATTTACTCGATAGGTGACGACGATTTTTTTTTGTTTTGCAATTTAGATGACGTCATAAATTATTACAAATTATTTTAAAATTTAATTAGTACTTTTTCTGATTAATTGGACATACCTTGGAAATTTTTATGTTTTTAAAACACCCGAAACAAAATCTAATTTTGCTTTGATAAGGAAGGGTGTGAAAAGACTGAGAGACTGGGTTGACTAGTGAGGCAGCTTCGAATAATCAGTGCCTATTCTGGTCCCTAAGAGACTTAATACGTGATTCTATGCTCATTGGCATAGTTTCAGAAACGTCTTAAGTTCTCAAAAAGAGTCAGCCTTGGGTTCACCAGTTAGGCAGCTTCGAGTAATCAGTGCCTATTCTGGTATCTAAGAGACTTAATGCGTGATTCTATGCTCATTGGCATAGTTTCAGAAACGTCTTAAGTTCTCAAAAGTGGATTTGGTACGAGACTCTATGCTCATTGGCATAGTTTCGCACGCGTACTAAAGTCA